GAAATCCACTCAATTTTATACTCTCATAGCAAAGTTTCATCATTTTTGTTTACATATGGTATAGTTCTGGTAGTAAAAAATTGAATAACAATGAAATATTTTCTTGTGAGACAGTCCTGTAATTTAAAGCTCTGTTCACCGAAACTTTAATTTCTAGAGTAGAAATACTTAGAGAAAAATACTCAATTTTATACATTTTCATTAATATTTGGTATAGTTCTGGTTCTGAAAGACTGAACACTAACCAAAAATTTTCTTGCGAGACAAGCCTATAATTTAAAACTCTATTTACTGCACCTTCAATTTCTAGAGTAGACATATTTAAAGAAAAACATCCAATTTGACACCTGCAACAGCAAAATTTTATACATTTTCTTTTATATCCGGTATAGTTGTGTTTCTGAAAGAATGAACACTGATCAAAAATTTTGTTATGAGAGAGTCCTATAACTTAAAACTCTGTCGACCTGACCTTTAATTTTTAGAGTGGAAATATTCAAATATTTAGAGAAAAATACAATTTGATTTCTTTGACAGCAAAACTTTATTCATTTCATTTACATTCGGTATAGTTCTGGTAATAAAAGATTGAATATCAACTAAATGATTTCTTACGAGATAATCTTGAAAGTCAGAACTCAATTCAAGCGACTTTTAATTCTAGAGTGGAAATATTTTGAGAAAAACACTCAATTTTATCCTCTCATAGCAAAGTTTCATCATTTTTGTTTACATTCGGTACAGTTCTGGTAGTAAAAAAATTAACAATAATGAAATATTTTCTTGTGAGACAGTCCTGTAATTTAAAGCTCTGTTCACCGAAACTTTCATTTCTAGAGTAGAAATATTTAGAGAAAAACACTCAGTTTTATACATTTTTATTAATATTCGGTATAGTGCTGGTTCTGAAAGACTGACACTAACCAAACATGTTTTTACGAGACAATCCTATAGTTTAAAACTCTATTCACGGAACCTTCAATTTCTAGAGTAGAAATATTTACAGAAAAACACCCAATTTAACACCTGCAATAGCAAAATTTTATACATTTTCGTTTATATTCCGTATAGTTGTGGTTCTGAAAGAATGAACACTGACCAAAAATTTTGTTATGAGAGAGTCCTATAACTTAAAACTCTGTCGACCTGACCTTTAATTTTTAGAGTGGAAATATTCAAATATTTAGAGAAAAATACAATTTGATTTCTTTAACAGCAAAACTTTATTCATTTCATTTACATTCGGTATAGTTCTGGTAATAAAAGATTGAATATCAACTAAATGATTTCTTACGAGATAATCCTGAAAGTCAGAACTCGGTTCAAGCGACTTTTAATTCTAGAGTGGAAATATTTTGAGAAAATCACTCAATTTTATCCTCTAATAGCAAAGTTTCATCATTTTTGTTTACATTCAGTACAGTTCTGGTAGTAAAAAATTCAACAATAATGAAATATTTTCTTGTGAGGCAGTCCTGTAATTTAAAGCTCTGTTCACCGAAACTTTCATTTCTAGAGTAGAAATATTTAGAGAAAAACACTCAATTTTATACATTTTTATTAATATTCGGTATGGTGCTGGTTCTGAAAGACTGAACACTAACCAAAAATTTTCTTACGAGACAAGCCTATAATTTAAAGCTCTATTCACGGAACCTTCAATTTCTAGAGTAGAAATATTTAGAGAAAAACACCCAATTTGACACCTGCAATAGCAAAATTTTATACATTTTCGTTTATATTCGGTATAGTTGTGATTCTGAAAGAATGAACACTGACCAAAAATTTTGTTATGAGAGAGTCCTATAACTTGAAACTCTGTCGACCTGACCTTTAATTTTTATAGTGGCAAAATTCAAATATTTAGAGAAAAATACAATTTGATTTCTTTGATAGCAAAACTTTATTCATTTCATTTACATTCGGTATAGTTCTGGTAATAAAAGATTGAATATGAAGTAAATGATTTCTTATGAGATAATCCTGAAAGTCAGCACTCGGTTCAAGCGACTTTTAATTCTAGAGTGAAAATATTTTGAGAAAAACACTCAATTTTATCCTCTCATAGCAAAGTTTCATCATTTTTGTTTACATTCGGTATAGTTCTGGTAGTAAAAAATTCAACAATAATGAAATATTTTCTTGTGAGGCAGTGCTGTAATTTAAAGCTCTGTTCACCGAAACTTTAATTTCTAGAGTAGAAATATTTAGAGAAAAACACTCAATTTTATACATTTTCATTAATATTCGGTATAGTTCTGGTTCTGAAACACTGAACACTAACCAAAAATTTTATTACGAGACAATCCTATAATTTAAAACTCTATTCAAGGAACCTTCAATTTCTAGAGTAGAAATATTTACAGAAAAACACCCAATTTGACACCTGCCATAGCAAAATTTTATACATTTTCGTTTATATTCCGTATAGTTGTGGTTCTGAAAGAATGAACACTGACCAAAAATTTTGTTATGAGAGAGTCCTATAACTTAAAACTCTGTCGACCTGACCTTTAATTTTTAGAGTGGAAATATTCAAATATTTAGAGAAAAATACAAATTGATTTCTTTGACAGCAAAACTTTATTCATTTCATTTACATTCGGTATAGTTCTGGTAATAAAAGATTGAATATCAACTAAATGATTTCTTACGAGATAATCCTGAAAGTCAGAACTCGGTTCAAGCGACTTTTAATTCTAGAGTGGAAATATTTTGAGAAACTCACTCAATTTTATCCTCTCATAGCAAAGTTTCATTATTTTTGTTTATCTTCGGTACAGTTCTGGTAGTAAAAAATTCAACAATAATGAAATATTTTCTTGTGAGACAGTCCTGTAATTTATAGCTCTGTTCACCGAAACTTTCATTTCTAGAGTAGAAATATTTAGAGAAAAACACTCAATTTTATACATTTTTATTAATATTCGGTATAGTGCTGGTTCTGAAAGACTGACACTAACAAAAAATTTTTTTACGTGACAATCCTATAATTTAAAACTCTATTCACGCAACCTTCAATTTCTAGAGTAGAAATATTTAGAGGAAAACACCCAATTTGACACCTGCAATAGCAAAATTTTATACATTTTCTTTTATATTCGGTATAGTTGTGGTTCTGAAAGAATGAACACTGGCCAAAAAATTTTGTTATGAGAGAGTCCTATAACTTAAAACTCTGTCGACCTGACCTTTAATTTTTAGAGTGGAAATATTCAAATATTTAGAGAAAAATACAATTTGATTTCTTTAACAGCAAAACTTTATTCATTCCATTTACATTCGGTATAGTTCTGGTAATAAAAGATTGAATATCAACTAAATGATTTCTTACGAGATAATCCTAAAAGTCAGAACTCGGTTCAAGCGACTTTTAATTCTAGAGTGGAAATATTTTGAGAAAAACACTCAATTTTATCCTCTCATAGCAAAGTTTCATCATTTTTGTTTACATTCGGCACAGTTCTGGTAGTAAAAAATTCAACAATAATGAAATATTTTCTCGTGAGACAGTCCTGTAATTTAAAGCTCTGTTCACTGAAACTTTAATTTCTAGAGTAGAAATATTTAGAGAAAAACACTCAATTTTATACATTTTCATTAATATTCGGTACAGTGCTGGTTCTGAAAAACTGAACACTAACCAAAAATTTTCTTACGAGACAATCCTATAATTTAAAACTTTATTCACGGAACCTTCAGTTTCTAGAGTAGAAATATTTAAAGAAAAACACCCAATTTAACACCAGCAATAGCAAAACTTGATACATTTTCGTTTATATTCGGTATAGTTGTGGTTCTGAAAGAGTCAACACTGACCAAAAATTTTTTTATGAGACAGTTCTATAATTTAAAACTCTGTCGACGTGACCTTTAAATTTTAGAGTAGAAATATTCAAATATTTATAGAAAAACACTTTCTGATTTCTTTGACAGCAAGGCTTTATTCATTTCATTTACATTCGGTATAGTTCTGCTACTAAAAAGTGAATAATAATCAAATGTTTTCTTATGAGACAGTCCTGTTATTTAAAACTCAGTTCACCAAAACTTTAGTCTCTAGAGTGGAAATATTTTGAGAAACACACATTAATATCGCCCTAAATCCACAGGCAAAAATCTGCATTTAAACTAAAAGATATAGAAGGTATTCAAAAAATTGCACACTAACTCTAGACACGTTGTTAAGCAAAGAAAAAATAATATAAAAAATCCTTCGAAGTTTTATTCCTGTTGGATATTTCACCATATTTTATTTTCACTACTTTCGCATCGTAAAAAATTGTTCAGAATGAATGTTTTAATTTTTAGTAACCAAATATGAGTATCCATGAATATTCACTCTTTCATAACCGAAACTGTAAGAGAAAAGCTCTTATTTATCACACCTTAATATTTACCAACAGTAAGTTACGATCGAAAATTTTGTCACAGTGATTAATTTTCACGAACATTTTCTTGTTGTACAACTTTTTTATAGTTTGGTTGGTTTTTATTACGTCAAACCACACGTAAAAATTGAGTGTGGTTTACCACAAACACACATATCTTTAAACATCAGTGAGATATTTCTGTCAAAAAAAAAAAACACTAAATCCACTTTTTTATTTTCTACGAGAATATTTTTTGCGATATTGACACATATAGTTCTGGTACTGAAATAATGAATATTGAGTAAATTGCTTCGTATAAGTTCATTTGGAACCTTTTAAGTTTGTAATACCAATAATTTACAACTTTATTCGCAGGACTTTTAATGCGTACAAGCAAATGACCAAAGTACGTCATAAATCTGAATTTTTTCTCCGCACTGATGAGCCTCAGCGACTGTTATAAAGTTTAGTAGCCAAATAAACCCATAAATGAGCCAATTTGCTGTTATAATCGAGCTTCCATTATCAGTACAATGAATTCGTCATTAAAGTGTTGCTTTAGAAAAGAGATATTACAAACACAAATATTAATTAATCGTTTTCACTTTTGTTTACGTATGTACTTACATCATCATCGTCCAACTGTCCATACACATCAAGCTTGTCGATCCGGATCGTGCCTTGAAAAGGATAACAGAGCGATCCTTGCGCGATGCTCGTGTTGGACCAAACCGACACCTCGGGCTCAGCGCGCCGCGCTCCGATGGCAGGACCTCTGACGCAGAGACTAAACTCCTGCGGGATCAGGACGCAAGTTTCCATCGTGAAATCAGTCAGTCATTCAACGCCCAGTCAACAAAAACACATGTCATCAACACAACAACAGTAACCAGTGCAGGACAACAACGTGCCAAATTAACAGTCCTTAAGGAGGATAAACATGTAACAAATCAACGGTCCTGCGACGGCGGGGGTGCTCTTAAGTGCAAAATAGACGGACGGGGTGCATGACAGGAGCGAAGAGAGCGCGCGCGACCAGGTTTAGGTGATACGCGGTGATCTGTGATCTAGTGACCGCAGCCTTGCAGGAGTGGCACTGAACTAGCATTGACCCTCAACAGTCTTACCTCTACCTTAAGTCCCCACCCTCATCGACACGTGGTCGCAGGTAGACCGTTTCTTGGTCTTGGCAAACTAACAGGTGCTTTTGAGCGGCAGCGACTGGGTCGGACAGCAGCCGACGGGTGGAAATGTGGAAGAGACGAGCGGGTTGAGGACAGGGGATGGCGGTTTTGGGGGGTTTTTGGAATTGTGAAATGGGTTTCTGCAAGTCGTTATGTAATGTCTCTTTGAAAAAATGAGAAATGCAAAAAATGTACAAAAATTACAAAAAAATGGTTGAAATGTAACATTTTCAAAAGAATTTTTTGGAATTTTTTTTAACTTGTCTCGGTCAATTTAGCCGAAACGATTTCAGATTCCCTATCTACGAAGTATTCTTTTAAAACTGGCGCTCCTTTTCTCTCAACTGAGTGGAACCTTTAACGTTTTCAAACATTTTTCAAAAATATAAGATTTCACATTCGTAATCTCAAGATTTCAAAAATTTTAAAACTTTGAGGATTGCAAAAATTCCAACTGTTCCAGAAATTCGCAGAATTTCGGTTATTCTGAGACTTTAAAAACCCTAGAAATTGTAAAGTTCGAAATATTCTACGGATTCTGAGGATTCTGAATGAAGATACTGAAGATTGTGAATATTCTGAACAATTGTTCTAAACATTCCGAAAATTCAAGATTCACAGTAATTGGAAAACCGAAGATTGCAAAATATCTGAACACTTTGAAGATTCTGAAAATTATAAAGACTCCAAAGGTTCCAGATAATCCAAAAGTTCCAAAGATTCCTGTTATTCCGGGATTCTAGAGATTCTAAAGTTTCTAAAGTTACTAAAATTCCTGAAGATTCCGAAAATTCTAAGTATTCTCAAACGCTGTAGATTCCAAAAAATCTGAAGACTGAAGATCCCAAAGATTCCAAATGTTCCAGAAATTCTAAAAATTTCGGATATTCTGAAACTAGAAATTCCAGACATTCTAGAGATTCTGAAGATTTCCAAGGGTATTTTGAAGGTCCTGAGAATTCTGGAGATTTGAAGATTCCGAATATTTCAAAGATTTCAACGGTTCCAGAAATTCCAAAAATTCGGGATATTCCGAGACTTTAGAAGTTCCAGAGGTTGTAAAAATTCGAAAGACTGTGGATTCGGAAGATTCTGAATGAAGATATTATATTCTAAAGATTTCGAAAATTCTAACGGTTCGTACTGTTTGGAAAAAAAACTGAAGACTTTGAAGATTCCGAAGATTCTGAGAGTTATAAAGACTCCAAAAATTCCAGAGATTTCAGAAATTTCAAAAGTTCCGAATATTCCGAGACTAAAAATTCCAGAAATTCAAAAAATCTCTGATACTCCAAGACCAGAAATTCTCAGATTCTGAAGATTTCCAAAATTCTGAATATTTTAAAGCTTCTAAAGATTCTGGAGTTTTGAAGATTCCGAATATTTCAAAGATTTCAACGGTTCCAGAATTTCCAAAAATTCGGAATATTCCGAGACTTTAGAAATTCCAGAGTTTGTAAAGATTCGAAAGATTCTGTGGGTTTGAGAGATTCTGAATTAGGATACTAAATTCTAAAGTTTCCGAGAATTCTAACAATTCACGGTGTTTGAAAGATTGACGACTTCAAAAAACACCTGAAAAGTTTGAAGATGCCGAAAGTCTAAAAATTATAAAGAGTCCAAAAATTCCAAATATTTCAGAAATTTCAAATTTTCTGAATATTCCGAGACTAAAATATCCAGAAATTCAAAAAATCCCTGAAATTCCGAGACTAAAAATTCTAAGATTCTGAAGATTTTCAAGATTCTGAATATTTTAAAGCTTCTGACGATTCTAGAGTTTTGAAGAATCCGAATATTTCAAAGATTTCAACGGTTCCAGAAATTCCAAAAATTTGGGGTATTCCGAGACTTTAGAAATTCCAGAGTTTGTAAAAATTCGAAAGACTGTGGATTCGGAAGATTCTGAATAAAGATATTAGATTCTAAAGATTTCGAAAATTCTAACGATTCGCACTATTTGGAAAATTGAAGACTCCAAAAAAACTGAAGACTTTGAATATTCCGAAAATTCTGAGAGTTATAAAGACTCCAAAAATTCCAGAGATTTCAGAAATTTCAAAAGTTTCGAATATTCCAAGACTAGAAATCCAGAAATTCAAAAAATCTCTGATATTCCGAGACTAGAAATTCTCAGATTCTATAGATTTCCAAAATTCTGAATATTTTAAAGCTTCTAAAGATTCTGGAGTTTTGAAGATTCCGAATATTTCAGATTTCAGCGTTCCAGAAATTTTAAAAATTCGGGATATTCCGAGACTTTCGAAATTCCAGAGTTTGTAAAGATTCGAAAGAATCTGTGGGTTTGAAAGATTCTGAATTAAGATACTAAATTCTAAAGTTTCCGAGAATTCTAACAATTCACGGTGTTTGAAAGATTGAAGACTCCAAAAAACACCTGAAAAGTTTGAAGATGCCGAAAGTCTAAAAATTATAAAGAGTCCAAAAATTCCAAATATTTCAGAAATTTCAAAAGTTCTGAATATTCCGAGACTAAAATATCCAGAAATTCAAAAAATTCCTGAAATTCCGAGACTAAATTTCCAAATTTCTGAATATTTTAAAGCTTCTGAAGATTCTGGAGTTTTGAAGATTCCGAATATTTCAAAGATTTCAGCAGTTCCAGAAATTTTAAAAATTCGGGATATTCCGAGACTTTCGAAATTCCCGAGATTATAAAGATTCGAAAGATTCTGTGGATTCGGAAGATTTTGAATGAAGATACCAGATTCTAAAGATTGAAGACTCCAAAAAATCTGAAGACTGAAGATTTTGAAGATTCTGAAAATTATAGAGTTCAAAAATTCCGGAGATTTCAGAAATTTCAATTATTCCTGATATTCCGAGACTTGAAATTCCAGAAATTCTAAAAATTTCGGATATTCGAGATATTCCGAGACTAGAGATTCCAGAGATTCTAAGATTCTGGATATTTCAAAGATTCTGACTATTTTAAACGTTCTGAGAATTCTGGAGATTTTGAAGATTCCAAATGTTTCAAATATTTCAAAGGTGCCAGAAATTCCAAAAAATCGGGATTTTCCGAGACTTTAGAAATTCCAGGGACTGTAAAGATTCGAAAGATTCTGTGAATTCGGGAGATTCTGAAGATTCCGAAAATTCTGAAGATTCACGCTATTTGAAAGATTAAAGTCTACAAAAAATCTGAAGAGTTTGAAAATTCCGAAGATTCTGAAAATTATAAAGAGTCCAAACATCCCAGAGATTTCAGAAATTTCAAAAATTCCTGATATTCCGAGAATAGAAATTCTAAGATTCTGAAAATTTCCAAGATTCTGAATATATTAAGGGTTTTGAGGATTCTGGAGATTTTGAAGATTCCAAATATTTCAAAGATTTCAACGGTTCAAGAAATTCCAAAAATTCGGGATATTCCGAGACTTTAGAAATTCCAGGGACTGTAAAGATTCGAAAGATTCTGTGAATTCGGGAGATTCTGAAGATTCCGAAAATTCTGAAGATTCACGCTATTTGAAAGATTGAAGACCCCAAAAAATCTAAAGACTAAAGATTCCGAAGATTCTGAAAATTATAAAGAGTCCAAACATCCCAGAGATTTCAGAAATTTCAAAAATTCCTGATATTCCGAGACTAGAAATTCTAAGATTCTGAAAATTTCCAAGATTCTGGATATATTAAGGGTTTTGAGGATTCTGGAGATTTTGAAGATTCCAAATATTTCAAAGATTTCAACGGTTCAAGAAATTCCAAAAATTCGGGATATTCCGAGACTTTAGAAATTCCAGGGACTGTAAAGATTCGAAAGATTCTGTGAATTCGGGAGATTCTGAAGATTCCGAAAATTCTGAAGATTCACGCTATTTGAAAGATTGAAGACCCCAAAAAATCTAAAGACTAAAGATTCCGAAGATTCTGAAAATTATAAAGAGTCCAAACATCCCAGAGATTTCAGAAATTTCAAAAATTCCTGATATTCCGAGACTAGAAATTCTAAGATTCTGAAAATTTCCAAGATTCTGGATATATTAAGGGTTTTGAGGATTCTGGAGATTTTGAAGATTCCAAATATTTCAAAGATTTCAACGGTTCCAGAAATTCCAAAAATTCGGGATATTCCGAGACTTTAGAAATTCCAGGGACTGTAAAGATTCGAAAGATTCTGTGAATTCGGGAGATTATGAAGATTCCGAAAATTCTGAAGTTTCACGCTATTTGAAAGATTGAAGGCCCCAAAAAATCTAAAGACTGAAGATTCCGAAGAATCTGTAAATTATAAAGAGTCCAAACATTCCAGAGATTTCAGAAATTTCTAAAATTCCTGATATTCCTGGACTAGAAATTTCAGAAATTCTAAATATTCCGGATATTTCGAGACTAGAAATTCCAGAGATCCTAGAGATTCTAATATTCTGAAGATTTCCAAAATTCTGGATATTTTAAAGTTTCTGACGATTTTGGAGATTTTGAAGATTCCAAATATTTCAAAGATTTCACCGGTTCCAGAAATTCCCAAAATTCGGAATATTCCAAGACTTTATAAATTCCAGAGATCGTTAAGATTCGAAAGATTATGTGGGTTCAGAAGATTCTGAATGAAGATACTCAAGATTGTAAAGATTCCGAAAATTCTGAAATTTCACAGTAGGTATTTGGAAGATTGCAAATTCCAAAGACTGAAGATTCCCAAGATTCTGAAAATTATAAAGAGTCCAAAAATTCCAGAGATTTCAGAAATTTTGAAAAAATTCCGGATATTCCGAGACTAGAAATTCCAGAGATTCTAAGATTCTGAGGATTTACAAGATTGTGAATACTTATTTTAAGGGTAAAATTCGAAAGATTCTGGAGTTTCTGAAGATTCTGAATGAAGATAGATTCTAAAGAATCACACTATTTGGAAGTCTGAAGACTCCAAAAAAAAATCAAAGACTGACGATTCCGAAGATTCTG